ATAAAGTTTCCAGAGGTGAAATTTTAGGTAGCACACAATTTCTTACACGCAGGTTGCTTTTCAACACTGATGAAAGAAACTTAAGAAATATTTGAAAAAAAAGTTCATATAGTACATTAATTTTGAAAGAAATACCATATAATGTATGTACTCTGGTTAATAATATCAAAAAATGTATTAGAACCACCGTTTAATGTTATATTTGATACAAATTAATATTGCTGCCCCGAACGCTCTGCGCCTTGCCACTGAATAATAGATTTACTTAAAATTACATCCCTGGTCCTTGTTCTTTCTGTATCGCATCGTGGTGAATTCACATTTCTCAGAAATTTGACAACAAAACAAAACAAAGCGAGTATTTTATTTGCTAATTTTTGCGATTTCTATTGTTTAATGTAAATTTGTCTTTTTAGGATATGTCGAGCCAACAAAGAAGGCGCAGTTGGAAAATTTAGTAATTAGAATTGAAGTAGCAGGCATATTTGGAAAATTATGCCGATAAACAGGATGGAATTTGGGAAAGTAAGTGCTTGGTTGCAGCATATCTATGTATAAAAAGTATTTAATTAAATTGTTTATAGAAATGTTATAAATCGAGTGGCTCATTTACGATGTGCTCCAAACATTTGGCGAACTTTTTTTCGCCTTTTCAACGTGCTAAGTAACAAGTTAAGATGACTGCCATCATGGGCCGGTAAGAAACCGCAAGCAAAGGGCAGACAACCTTCCAGGAAGCTGCGTCCTGTCCCCGAGCCGAAGCTGCAGTTCAGCAAGAGCAGGTCAGCAAATTGCTACCCTGATCAAACGTAAACTAAAGCGCTCTGCTGTGATTGCACTCCGTAAATGTGAAAATTTGGTGCATGCTGAAAAATATCAAACAAGAAAACTCCGTGATGGACGCCGTGAGATGGAGTAACGCTGTGTGGCAAAGAAATGCGGCCAATTCGACCGGCCTGAAAAATCCAAAATAGCTTTTGTGATCCGCATCCGCGGTATCAACAAAGTTGCACAAAAAGTGCGTAGTTTTACAGTTCTGTCTTCGCCACATTAAAACGGTGTGTTCATCAAATTGAGCAAGGCAACCATTAATATGCTACGTATGCCGTACCCCCTATATGGGGTTATCCAAATCTTAAATCAGTTTGTGAATTGATGTACAAACGTGGAATGGTCAAGCGTGTCCCAATCTCTGCTTTGTGATCGAACGCAAATTTCGCGAAGCGCACGAAATTCAGTGCGTTGATTCACTTCACTTCAAGAAAGCCCCCAACTTCCTGTTGCTATTCAAGCTCAACACATCAACCCGAGGCTGGCGCAAGAAGGCTAATCACTACGTTGAGGTTGGTGATTTCGGTAGCCGTGAGGATAAGATCAACAAATTGCTGCACAAGATGGCTTAAAGAAATTGTTGTTTTGTATTTAAGTAGACAATATAATTTGGCACATCTTCAAAAGACGCCTAAGCAAAAAAAAAAAAGAAAATTAAAAAATTCCTGAAGTTGCCTTTTCACGGGTCGATTTCTGTCGACTGGAAAATTTACTTAAGATATCGACTAGCCAAAACGCTTACATTTTACGGTTGAATTGCAATTTACACGGGTAGATTTTGGTTAAACGACAAAAATCGACCATGTAAAGGCAGCTTAAATAACGTTCAAATTAATCACCCCCTTTGAGATGGAAAATACCAATAACCATTTCATAATTTCGAAAATTATTCCATTTATATTTGTTCTTGCATTTTCCACACCACTTGTGAGGTATGCTTTTACGCGCGTTACCGATTTTTTTTAATGTGCTCGGTTGCCCAGGAGGCCTATTTTCACCTTTACAACTTAACTTAAACAGAATTAAAACTAAAGCATGCAATATATAAAGAAAATTAAAAGTTGTCTTACATCTAGTAAACTTAAAAAATTGCACATTAAATTCATTTTTCATTATAAAATAAAATTAAATATCACAATTCAGTTTACAAAATGTGGTCTGTTTGCACCCACAGTAAGTTCCCATGTAGCCTAGCCTAAATTCAGAATTGAAAAAAAAAACGAGCAAATGGGGTCGGAAACTACTAGCCCTGAAAGCATAATGTGGAAAATGTTTGAAGAGCTGCGAAATTGTATTGCAATAATAAAAATAACAGTGCATAAATTGGAAAAAATGGTTTTTGTTTTGCTTTATAATTTTTGGGAATATTGGTTCAGATGGAATTTTTTTATTTGTTTGGTTTTTCAGCTCGTTAATGATGCACCCAGGGTTGCATTTACTGTCTATGAAAATATTTCGTGAAGCGTTCCAAAATTAGCTCCGAGCAACTAAAAGTTGGTTAAGCTTAAATGAAATAGTTTTTTATTAAATATTTATTCCTGGTATTTAGTAAAAAACATCAATACTAATGTATGAAAAACAAAACATCACTGCTAGTGTATGAAATGAAGTAAATAAAAATCTACGAATACATTCCATGAATATTTTGTCATAGAGCCATTATTAAATTTAGACATAACTTTGTCAGGCGTTGGTACCTACGTATATACATAGAATTAATGCGTTGGAGAGAGATAAATATACAAGTTCAACGCGCTAATTTAGGTATCCTTGTATGTATATACCTGTTACTCGTCTGGCATATACTCCAACTGCGAAAATAATGACAATTATAATTTATGTAGATCCCTGGATAAAAGATTGTCACAAGTTACTTTCGGTAACTCACGATTGAAGTTTGGAATGTAATTTCTCAGAAACACGACTACAGATTTTCTCCAAAGTGTCGGAGAATGCTATGTACTAGCTCATGAAATTCTTAAATTATCTTATTTTTTTTAGTTTAGTGCCAACCATTTATGAGTTTAATAAAATTTTGTCGTATACGACATTTGTCAAAAAATTTGCAGTCAGTTTTAGTGATGTACGCCAAAATGTGATAACAATTTTTATAAATTAACCATACTTTTTACTAATCAGCCTAATCGTGAGTTTCGCCCGAACAAAATTTCGCCAACAATTTTTTCATCCACCTGTAGTGAACACACGCAAACGAAAAGTGACCCGGTTCTAGAAAATGAAACTCATGATAAAGCTGAATATGTCGGAAACTAAAGAAGAACAGAAAACTCTATTTGAAAGATCTTAATTAGTTTAGTACGACAGCTATACTAACGCAATTTGTACCAAATAACCGAAAAAATTTTAGTCAATTAGTCGGAAACTAAAGAAGATATCCAAAAACCACAAATTGTCAAAATGACGCTTCCGGCAATTTTCCATCACGGCGACGATATTTGAATAGGTTTGTATAGTTACCAATAGTCAGTACTAATTTGTACTGGAACCTGCAAACTTTTACTGGAAAAGTGTATGATAGCCCAAAAAATTTGCAAGAGAGTACTGAATCGAGAGCGTAACAACACGAGAGAGCTGCAAATTCTTGCTAGTGAAATTTTAACTAGCAGAAATTAGCTAGCAGAAGAAGAAGAATAAATGTCAAAAGAATATATAAAAAGTGGTGTTACTAGCTCAGTTGATTTTGTGTATGTGTTTCGCCGCACGGCTTCTGATATCAAATTGAAAAATTTTGTTTGAATTTCTACTCACACTTACAGGTTTTGACAGTTTATGCCGCCAAAGCAAAAACAAAATACATGTAAGTTTTTGTTTTTGTACTCCTGCTATCACCTTATATTGATTCGCCTTGGCACAAACAAAAGTAAAATGAGTGGAAATCATAATATTAATGATGTACTGGACAGTGTAAGTGCTTGTGTGTAAAGCAAAGAGTTTAAAACTGATTTATAAATAGTAAAATGTTTACAGCAGATTGTCAAAGCAGTGTAACAACTGTTCTCTTGCAAGTTTTTGCTAGTTTTGTGTTCAATAACCTCTTCTGCTAGTTTTCTCTTCTTCTCAATTTTACACTCTATTTTGCTTTTACGCTCTCGCTGCAATGTTTTACTGGAGAAGTTACTATACAAACCTAATGTTACTCGCATATTTTCGAGCCTGTATGTAAATTTTCGGGAAAAAGGTTAAAAGGTATATTCATCTGCTGAACAGATGTTTTCGCAGATTCACAATTTATTTAAAATAAATCTATCAGCCGTATCTCCAATTCCATGTGAATAAATCTCTCCTGTGCTTAAATAATTTTCACCACATTAAATAGCTGTACAACACCCTAATTGCCTAAAAAGCGTTGCTTGCAACACTAGTCCTTTATGGGGACCAAACTTGGTAAAAAAAAAATAGCTAAGTTTGTTTACTGGATATACTGAGGATGCAACTAAATAAAATTTGTTGCTCTTCTACTCTTTCTGTTGACGTTCGGATTGTGTACGTGTAAGAAGCCGATTTTGTACATGTGAAAGGCCGAATATACCCTGCAAAAAATGCGACAAGTCCGGGATGAGTCGCAAAGGAACTTGCGACTAATGCCACTTTGCATCCATTTGTATGGACTGAACTGTTCCCTTTTGTTCGAGCATGTCCTATGAAGAGACTAATTGTACCCTTTTATACCCGAACGGGTACGAAAAGAGACTAGTCGTCTTTTAAGCGCCAACGGTAGCAGAATGAACCCAGTTATTGTCAAACCTTTTAAAATGCTTTCAGCGACTAAAATAAAATACGTGTAATATCATTCATTTCGAAACCAATTTTATTTTCATTTCAATATTGATTGAGATTTTATTTTTGTGCATTTTGGTGTAGAATGAAAAAAGTATCGAAAATAATTTAGAATAAAAAAACTTTGCATACATTGCGGAATTTCACTGTGCCAATACTTTTGTACGTCAATGTACATATGTAAAATGTATAGAAATTTGTACACTAGATTAAAACGAAAACTGAATTATTTGGGGTATTCATCTCGTAACCACGTAAACTTATTTAATTTAAGCGTTAAGATTAATACTCATATTATTATTTAAAAGTAATCTGTTTTCATTTATAAATTTAAAGTTAGCACTATATAAAATTA